TATAGCACTGATGAATATAGTGTCCCCTTTTTAAACAATAATGACAAATGATACCATCATGAACATGATTATCTCTAGAACTTGATGCTTCTACTATGTCATAAGAATGCAAAGAATTACAATTCATAAAAACAGTAGATTTAGATTAGGAAGACTTAGATAATTCAAAAGAAGGTCCAGCTCTATTATGAGGAAATCTTTGTGAACTTAAATTGTTGTCTAACTTACCTTTACCTTTCACAAAATTGTTCAAAGAACATTCAAGAGAGCTTATTTTCCTTTTTAATTCATCTACCAGCGTATCATACTCTTCAATCAGCTTTTGTTTGCAATTTCTAAATGCAATTGTTGACTCTTCCAAGTCAGTTTCCATATTTTGACTAGTTATCTTTTCCTCATTTAAAGATTCTTTCAAATCACTGTTTTCTTTTCTAAGTGACAAAATTTCCCTTTTTAAAGATGCATTTTTTGCACTAATTTGTTTAGTATGCTCATATAATTCACTAAATGCATCTTGCAAATCTTCATATGGCATTTCATCATCACTAGCATGATAAAAAATAGAAGAAGAATTGGAATTTACCTCATCTGCGTCATCACTTGCCATGAGACAAATATGAGCTTCCATGTCACTTACTTCTTTACTAGAAAATGAGTCCTCACTGCAGCTCCATGTGGCAACCATTGCCTTCTTTTTCTTTTTGGCTTTTAGACTTTTTTCATCATTGTTTGGACACTCAGATTTAATATGTCCAGCCTTCTTGCATTTGTAGCAAATAATTTCATTCTTTTTACTGCTTTCTCCCTTTCCTTTACTGCTTTTGTAATTTTTCTTGTGTTGTCCTTGATTCTTCAGCTTGTCTTTCCTTAGGAAACTCTTAAACTTTTGAGCAAGCACTATAAATTCTTCATCATCCTCTTCATCACTGTCACTTTCATCTTTGGAGGAGCTTTTGAAAGCTACAGATTTCTTCTTCCGAGAATCATCATCACTTTCATCATTTTTCATGGCCATTTCATGTGTCATAAGCTTCCCTTGCAGCATCTCAACAGTCATGGCACTTAAATCGTGAGCTTCTTCTATTGTCGTCTTGATTGAACTCCAGGATTTTGGCAAGGAGCGAAGAATTTTTCTGACCTTATCTTCCTCCGGAAGCACCCTATCAAAAAGCTTTAATTCATTAGTGATTTTGGTAAAACGAGTAAACATGTCTTTAATGTCTTCATCTGATTTCGTTTTGAACAGCTCATATTTTTGAACCAACATGTTAATTTTTGATTTCTTGACTTCATTAGTTCCTTCATGAGCCACTTGTAATTTATCCCACATTTCCTTAGCAGAATCACATGCACTAATTCTATCATATTCACTAGGATGTAAAGCACAAAATAATGCATTTTTAGCTTGAGCATTAATCTGCAGTTTCTTTTTTTCAACTTGATCATATGATGCAAGATCCTTAGGAACAAGTTGGTTATTCTGGTCTCTAGCTAATACTTTTTAAGGTCCTTTAGCAATGCAATCCCACATCTCATAGCTATTTGCTTCTAACCAAATCTGCATCCTATTTTTCCAATATTGATAATTTGTTCCATCAAAATAAGGTGGCCTAGTGATTGAATGACCTTCAACAAAATGAGCTTGGAAAGCCATGGATCTACTCAAGATTGTAAAATCTATTTCTAAGAGAACCTGCTCTGATACCAATTGTAATCCCAGCTAACTACCCCTCAATTCCTAAGATATAAAACTCATTTCATTTCCTTTATAAAAATGTGAATGAAGTTTTCAATATATATATAAGCTGTGGTGCAGAATAAACAAGAGTAATATAGTGCAGAAAAATAAAAGAGAGGGAAGAAAAAATCAAGCCGTGATTTATAGTGGTTTCTCCAACCCGGAGTACGTCCACTCCCCAAGCCTCCTTGCTCGAGAATTCAATCCACTATAAATCTCTTGCTTACGGGTGCAAGATTAAACCGGAACAAACTCTTGCTTGCGGGTGCAAGATTAAACCCTCACAAGTGAATCTCAACTCACTCAACCCCTTCAAGGATTATCTCAATCCAAGAAAAATACAAAACCCTTGTAAGACAATTAACCCAAAAGCTCACAAGAAGAGAAGAAGAAGGAAAACCAGAACAATTTCAAACTCAGTTTCTGTAGCAGTTCATCCTTCCTCTCCCAAGCAGATCTGATTTTTTATGTCCATTTAATAGTTGGTTAGGAGCCTTGCAATTAAAGCCCATTTAGCCTTTCAAAGCCACCTCACAATTGCCCCAATTAGGTTCCACCTTATTCTACTAACTTAGACTTGACTTTGGAAAGTGCTTAGACAATGGTTTCCCCAAGGCCCATTAAGACAAAAAACAAACTCGCCCATGAGGTGTGGGTCTTGCTCAATATGTGAGAACGTATTGAATTTTTGAACAACCAGCTTTGAAAATCCAAGACAAAGAAGTCCGATGGCAAAGAATCCAAGGCTTCCCACACCAGTCTGGAAAAATAACAGTCCCGTAGGAGATGAATTGGAGTTTCTACAACTGGTTCACAACGGGGGAACACGGAAGATGAACCAAAATGTCTATCAAAGCGAACAGAATTAGTAAGAACTCTACGCCGTTGTAGTAGCCAGACAAACATTTTGATTCGTTCTGAACATTAAGTTTCCAAATCCAATCCCACTGTGTTGTGGCCTGACCTTGAGCCAAGCGCTGAGATTGAATAATAGAGAAAGCAGAGCTAACTGTATAGTCACCATTTTTGGAGGCATGCCAGAACCTTTCATCATCGAATTGATTCATTATAGGAAGATGAATTGCAGCAATTGAATCTAGTATATGTTGAGGGAGCAAACCCACAAGCGAACTAAGGTTCCATCGCTTATCCCCTGTGATGAAGTGTGAGATTGATAAGTCAGCCAATTCAGGAGGTATAGGAGATACTGCAGAGTCCAAGAGTTGCTGGGAACCAATCCAAATATCATACCAGAAGTTGATGCATGAACCTGAACCCACCCACCATCTAGAACCTAGTTGCAACACATCTCTACATTTTAAAATGCTTCTCCAAGTGATAAAGGAGGAGGAGTTGACCTGACAGTCTATAAATGTCTCTCTATGTAAATACTTTTGTGAGAGGGCTTGACACCAAGGCTTGTTCTGGCCCGTAAGAAGTTGCCAACCCAGTTTAGCTATCAAAACTCTGTTATGTTCAAGTGCAGGACGTAATCCTAGCCCACCCTGTCTGTGAGGTAAGCAAAGATCATTCCAGCTGACTAGATGAGATTTACGTTGATTTAGTTCTGAACCCCATAAGAATTTGCGGTTGAAACTATCAATGGCAGCACAAGTTTCCTTGGGTAAAAAGACGGTCTGGATGCTATATATAGGAATAGAAGAAGTAATAGATTGCACTAGAACTCTTCGACCTGCCAAGCTGAGTAGAGATTGTTTCCAACCAGGTAATTTAAGTTGAATTTTCTCAACAATGTATTTGTAAGTTGCAGAGGTGCTATGTCCATGAATAATCGGTACCCTAGACACCCAAGTTCCGAGTTAAAGGGATGCCACAAGTGGAGCTCATGCTGTTTGCAACATGACTCTAAATATTTGGTGAGATGAATAACTTAGACTTAGCCAGGTTAATG